TGTGGTCCAGAGGCCGGTGGCACCCACAGCAGCCTGGGAGGTGGGACAGCCCTGTCTCGCCGGGAGCTGCGCCTGTCTCGTGCTCCTCAGCCGAGAGCTGGACCTGCAGCCCGGGGGCTGGCCGAGGGAGTGCGGGCAGCCAGAGCCCTGGCTGTTTCCTGGCCTCCCCGGGACCCCCCCCCCCCCCCCCCACTCCAAGTGGGTCTCCTCTTCAGGGCACGGAGCCTGTCGTCCAAGGCGAGGGACAGTTAGAGGTGAAGGCAAGGGAGGGGCAAGGGTCTCAATCATACAGGTGTCCCCCCGAATGTATGCACACTTTGAATAATTACTCATTCCAGTGGCTTAAATCTGAAAAGAAAGAACCTTCCATTGAGCCATCAGCTGGTAAATGTGTATGCAGCCCGTTCGGTGTGGCTCAGTGGTTGAGCGTCAACCTATGAACCAGGAGGTTCAATTCCGGTCAAGGGCACACGCCTGGGTTGCGGGCTCGATCTCCAGCGAGGGGCGTGCAGGAGGCAGCCGATCAATGATTCTCTCTCATAATGGATGTTTCTCTCTCTCCCTCTCCTTTATCTGAAATCAATTAAAAATATATATATTTTTTAAAGTGTGTATACATTTTTTGGGACACCCTCTATATTGGGCAGCCCCGTGGGGTTAATGAGTGGCAGGGACTGTGAGTGCCCGTGACAATGGATCGACCACTTGGGACTGAGTTTAGTGACAGCACCCCTCGGCCGGGGCGGGCTGGGGTGGGGCTGGGCGAGGTCATTGGCTCTGGGTTACAGTTTCCCACCAGGGGGTCTCCAGGGGGGTTTTGAACATCCTTGGTCTACCCCCCTGGGTTTGAGGCTGCCTTTTGTAAGTTGCCTACTGGGGTGTTTTGTAACGTGGGCCCGGGTGCTCGTGGCCTGGGCAGAAGGCACGGGGGCCGCGGAGCGTCCCGGCGTGTCGGGCCCACTCACGTGCTGCAGCGCTTTGCGGGGCAGCTTCTCCGAGTGGGCGATCCATTCTTTCATCAGGTCCAGGATGATGGGGATGAGGCTGACCACGCCCCCGTAGTGGTTCCTGGCCTCGTCACAGCTCAGGTGGTTCACCACGTCATGGGGGTACCTGCCGGGCCAAGGGGGCCCGTGAGCCCCCGCTGCGGGGACTCCCCGCCCGGTGGCAAGCGCCTGCCTGCCCGGGGGCAGGGTGTTTGAGCCTGACCTCCCTCCGAATCGCCTGGGGAGGTGTTAGTCCTGTGCACGCTCCGGGTGGGGCTCCCTGTTCCCCGGACGCTGTGGGTCAGCAGGTTTGGGGACCCAGAGCCCCAGGTAGTCCTGGTGCGAAGGAGTTAGTAGGACCTGGACGAGGGGCTGTGGAACCTGCTCTAATAGCTGCAAACTACACTGTGTCCCCTGGAGCCTCCTGCCCGAGCCTCTCGGCAGCTCCCTGAGGATTTGGGACTCTGGGCCGTGGTTCCGGGGCTCAGAATGAGGGCCTCGAATTTCCCACCGGCTTCACCCATTCAGACTCAGCTGCCTCTCTACAGAGGACCCCCTCCCCCCATCCCTGCCTGCCCCCCGCCCACAGGAGCACGCCCGGCCTCAGAACCGGGGCCTGAGGGACCTACTTGGCTCTCAGGCTGCTCAGGTCATTGCTTTGGCTCACGAAGGTCTTGCATTTGTCCAGGAAGTTGTTGGTGATCGGGGTGCCTGGGTGCAGGGTCTCGAAGCGCTGGCAGAGCGATCTCAGGTCCGTGCAGATGTCCAGGAACATGAGCAGGATGCGGCGGTCTGTGGAGTTGGTGCAGTAGTGCTCCGTGTAGCTCTGCACCTGCAGGGCAGCGCATGAGCGAGGGTGGGCAGGAGCCCAGCTGCAGGGGAGTGAGGGCTGAGGGCGGGCAGGAGCCTGAGCCCGGGCTGCAGGAGAGTGAGGGCGGGCAGGAGCCCAGCTGCAGGGGAGTGAGGGCGGGCAGGAGCCCGGCTGCTGCTTTTATGGGACAAGCATCCAGCAGCCCCTCGGCTCTCCCTGCTCCCAGAGCCACGGGGAGAGGCAGCGACGTGTTGCATTGGGACGGACAGACACCATACAGAGCCCTTCGCTCAGGGCCCCGGCACCGGCAGCCTGTTTGCAGCCCCGGTTTCGTTCCTCCTCATCTAACCCCCCACCTGGGCAGCTTTTAAATCCTCACTGAACAGCTGAGCGGTGGAGGCTCTGAGAGCGGAGGGAGGTGCCCACAACCAGGGCTCTGAGCCCGGCCTCACCAGCCCCGTGACCTAAGCCGACGCCCAAAGCCGAGGGCTGGTCCCAGCTTCTCACGCCACAGTCCCACTCAGGGCTGCTGGGCGGGCACCTGACACCCTTTGTAGGTCTGTCCTGTGTCCAAGGCAGAGGGAGGGGCCATCAGTCAGAGGAGCTGGGAGATGAGCCACCCGCGGGAGAAAGCTGGCCACCACCCCACGGACAGTCCCCGCCAGGAGGCAGCACTTCAACCCCGAGCCCAGATGGACTGCGTGGACGCAGACTAGGGAACCACCCCCAACGCTGGAGAGGAGCCGGCTCCATCCAGGTGGGACTCCCCACCCGGTTCTCATCAAATGGTTCCCCCACTCGCCACGACCCCGTGGAAGGGGCATCCCCACCCCCCCAGGACCCACAGTTCTCAGTCTAGACCGGCTTTCCTGTTGTTGCTCGAGGGGGGTCTTCCTAAGTGTGATAGCTTTGCAGGGCGGCACAGGCTTTGCCCCCACAGCCCAGGTCCCCGCACCTGCCCCGCACCTGCCCCGCACCTGCCCTGCACCTGCCCCACACCTGCCCTACACCTGCCCCACACCTGCTGCACCTGCCCCACACCTGCCTCACACTTGCCTCACACCTGCCCCGCGCCTGCCCCGCACCTGCCCCACACCTGCCCCGCACCTGCCTCACACCTGCCCCGCACCTGCCTCACACCTGCCCCGCACCTGCCTCACACCTGCCCCGCACCTGCCTCACACCTGCCCCGCACCTGCCTCACACCTGCCCCGCACCTGCCTCACACCTGCCCCGCACCTGCCTCACACCTGCCCCGCACCTGCCTCACACCTGCCCCGCACCTGCCTCACACCTGCCCCGCACCTGCCTCACACCTGCCCCGCACCTGCCTCACACCTGCCCCGCACCTGCCTCACACCTGCCCCGCACCTGCCTCACACCTGCCCCGCACCTGCCTCACACCTGCCCCGCACCTGCCTCACACCTGCCCCGCACCTGCCTCACACCTGCCCCGCACCTGCCTCACACCTGCCCCGCACCTGCCTCACACCTGCCCCGCACCTGCCTCACACCTGCCCCGCACCTGCCTCACACCTGCCCCGCACCTGCCTCACACCTGCCCCGCACCTGCCTCACACCTGCCCCGCACCTGCCTCACACCTGCCCCGCACCTGCCTCACACCTGCCCCGCACCTGCCTCACACCTGCCCCGCACCTGCCTCACACCTGCCCCGCACCTGCCTCACACCTGCCCCGCACCTGCCTCACACCTGCCCCGCACCTGCCTCACACCTGCCCCGCACCTGCCTCACACCTGCCCCGCACCTGCCTCACACCTGCCCCGCACCTGCCTCACACCTGCCCCGCACCTGCCTCACACCTGCCCCGCACCTGCCTCACACCTGCCCCGCACCTGCCTCACACCTGCCCCGCACCTGCCTCACACCTGCCCCGCACCTGCCTCACACCTGCCCCGCACCTGCCTCACACCTGCCCCGCACCTGCCTCACACCTGCCCCGCACCTGCCTCACACCTGCCCCGCACCTGCCTCACACCTGCCCCGCACCTGCCTCACACCTGCCCCGCACCTGCCTCACACCTGCCCCGCACCTGCCTCACACCTGCCCCGCACCTGCCTCACACCTGCCCCGCACCTGCCTCACACCTGCCCCGCACCTGCCTCACACCTGCCCCGCACCTGCCTCACACCTGCCCCGCACCTGCCTCACACCTGCCCCGCACCTGCCTCACACCTGCCCCGCACCTGCCTCACACCTGCCCCGCACCTGCCTCACACCTGCCCCGCACCTGCCTCACACCTGCCCCACACCTGCCCCACACCTGCTGCAACTGCTGCACCTGCCCCACACCTGCCCCGCACCTGCCCGCACCTGCCCCGCACCTGCCCCAGAGCGGTGGGTGGTGGGCCATGGAGGAACCTGGGCTGTGCTGTAACCACAGAGCAGCGTCACTGGCCGCCGCTGTGTGTGTCTACCCTGTGGAGGGCGGGGTGAGGGTGAGGAGCCCACACGTCAGGTGGAGGCTCAGATTGTGGGGCCACTTTTACCAAAAGCCTCCGCTGAGCCCCAGCCCAGGTGGGCCTCAGGTGCTGCTCCGCTGACGGAAGCCCGCCCGGTGCCGGGATGCGGGCCTCTGAGGGACGGGCTGGCAGGACGTGGGGACAGGCGGGGTCTCGGAGGCACCCAGGCCTGGCTCAGCGTTACGGGTGGGTGTGTCTAGGCCAGCGGTGGAGACCTTTTTCCTGCCAAATGATCAGCTTCAAATGAGCTGCTCTATTTGGTCAAACAGTTCATTAACCCACCCTCATGCCTGGGCCGGGCCAGACCAAAGGATGTCTCAGGCCCCTACGGCCAGTGGGCCCGATGGTCCCCACCCCTGGTCTGGGTCATGTGTGTGTTCATTTTCCGTAGGGTTACGTTTTTTCAAGTTAAAGAACCGGGAGAAATATCTACAAAAATTGGGGGGGAAACTGACTTAAGGGGTGCTGCCAGTAGGGGGTGCTGTTCTCCATGGGGGGAGGGAGGGAGGGGATGGAGGGTCTGGGTGTGTGTTCCTGACACTGAGGCTCAAGCCATAACTTCCCAGCAGCTCACTGGTGCTGAGGCCCCGAGTCCCGCCGGTCCACGCACACAGGGAGACACGGGCTAAATGAAAACGCCCTGTGCTCGGACCCAGTGGAGCCGGCAGCTGGACCCTACCTGTCTGCCCCTCAGTACGTGCCGTCCAGCCCCGGCCTCAGACGCTCGGGCACAGGCTGGGTGTGTTCCGAGGGCCATCTCATGACGTCCGCAGAAACGGAGGCACAGAGAGGCCCCTGGTCACAGAGGAGGCCTGGGCAGAGCGGGGACGAAGCCCTGGTTGCTGAGCCTTGAGCCACCCTTGTACCCACTTGTTCCATTCGCCCCACCCCTGAGGCGCGTCCCCCCAGCCAGGATCCCAGGCCTGCTGCTGGCCTGAGCTTCCCCTGTCTCGGCCCCGGTGTCCCTCATGGTTCCAGCGAGGGCTGGCCCGGTGCTGCCCAGGAATCTCTGGGCCTGGCAGGTGCCCGGGTCCCAGCCCACCCCGCCCCACCCTGGAGGCCACCTGCTCGATGCTGGTGATGGGCTTGATCTTGTCGTGGGCGTTCTCCCGGCAGTGCTCCAGCGCCGCCACGAAGGTGAACTGCTGCTGCTGGAACAGCTTGTACTTCTGCTCGATGCTCCGCAGCGATTCCTTCGCCTCGTTCATGGTCCTCCAGGGGCTCCCTTCAGGCCCGGGAGTCTGGGAGGAAGAGCGAGGGCTGAGGGCTGCAGGTGCAGGCCCTCCTGGGGGAGCCCTCCCGGGGCTCCCGCATCCTGGGGGGCAGGGGCTGCTGTCACCCCCATTTTGCAGAGAAGGGAATGAGCCCCTCCCATGCCAGCCCTCCTGCCCCCCCACGAGAGAGCTGAGCCCGACCCACACCCGTGTATCTCGCAAGGATACATTCTTTGCCATGAAGTGTGACTTTCTTCCCTCCCTGTGGGCGAGAACGTCTCCGGTCCTCAGTCTCTCCAGACTGAGTTTCACACACACACATACACATGCGGGCACGCACACACGCTCACGCATGCACACAAACATACCCTCGCACGCACACACGCTCAGCCCCCAGTGCCTCCCCGTGGTGTCAGCAAAAGCTGGGATCAGGGCATTGCCCCAGAGTGAGACGTCTGAGCCCATCAGCTTGGACCGGGCTGTTTGCGGTGGGCCAGGCAGGAAGGGGCCAGCCCTGTCTGAGACTTCCCAGCTCTGGGGGTGGGGCAGGGCCCTGACCTCCCTGCTGGCCCCTCCTCCCTGCCTCCCCCGATTGGGAGGGGAATGGGAGGGGAGTGCTCGCTGGGTGCCTAGGACCCAGGCGTCCGCAGCTCCTCCACAATCTGCTCTGGGAGCAGAAAGGCTGTGGTGGGCGCTGCCCTCCGTGACGCCATCATTTTGCTGAGCACACGCCGCATGCTCCAGCTCACAGACCTGTGGGATGGCAGTTGGAAGGGGCCTCAGCAGATCAACTCCCCTTACTTCCGGGGGTGGGGGGACACTGACACCCAGGATGTCACAGCAAACTTGCTCCACAGACCCCCGCCCCCGCCCCCTCCCCAGGCTCCAGGCTGCCTAAGGGCTGAGCAGCATCCTCGAAGCTGCCAGGGCACCTGGGGCACCAGAACACCTGGAGCCCAGGCCTGCACGCCCCCAGGTGAGCAGGGTCAGGAGGCTGGGCCGGAGGGCGGAGGGCGGGTCCCAGCGAGAAGCTACAGGGAAGGACGGGACCAGGACACGTGCCAGGCTTCCTGGCAGGTCCCAGGAGAGGCGTGAGAGCAGGTTGGAGCTGGGGGGGGGGGCATTATTGCTGGGTGTCCCTCAGCACCTGAGCCCCGGGCAGGGCTGGCGCCAGGGAGGGCATCTCTGTGGCAAGAGGAGATGGCGTCCTGATGAAAGGAAACGCAAGAACGGACAGAAGATGGCCTCTGTCTGGGAGGGTGGGGCCTCTGTCGGGAGGGTGGGGGCCTCCGTCCGGGACAGTGGGGGCCTCTGTCCGGGAGGGTGGGGGCCTCTGTC